AGGTAGGTATTAAGTTGATCTTAGCCATGACTACTAGGTGTAATTGCACTAATCAATGTATGCTTTAACTTGTAATTGAGAATGACTTAGTAATTATTCCTCTAATATTCTACTTAACTATGCTAATGTCATAGAAAGGAGTACTCTGAGTGATCAATGATTAGTTATTATGCACCATTCATAGATACATTTACCTCTTGACTTACTCCTGTTGTGAGTAGAATATTGGTTATGGTTTACTTCTCTATCAATAATATAAGTTATCAATACATGTCCTTGTCAGACCTTCCCTGTGGTAAAAATATAAATAATCATACCAGGAATACTCCCGGGTGAAGTGCTACAATAGTATAATTATCTGTGCGCTTGCAGATTACTTTCATTCATATATTTCTATATATTCTTTTTAGTCACATAAAATAATAAAAAACTACTCTAGTAGTAATACTAGATAGTACCAACAAACATCTCTGGTATCATCACTAGGGATGACAACCAGGTAAAGTAATGTTAAGAGTTGTAGACATACATTAGGTGGCTACTAAAACATGTGACAAGTTAATAAATACCAACACTTAAAGGCAAAGGATATTTATACTAGGAGCAACCCCCCTAGTTAGGTGTGAAAATGAAATGGAGCTTTTAAACATAGGCTATGTGAAAGGCCACTATGAGATGGATTCCCAAAGTGGTTGTTTGGGGAGGCCCTAGGGTATAAGCCCCCACCTCTTCTTACTAATCAGCCAATGTTTCAATTGCTAAGGACAAAAGGATGACCGACGAAAGCTAGAGATCCCAGCAAGATGCGAAACGTTTGCCGAAGGCTTCAGGAAGTTTCGAGCAAATGCGTCAAGGCCTAGGCATAGGAAGCGCACTCCAGGCCAACGTATGGGAGGTGCTATATATAGCCACCCAGCAGAATGACAAGGGTCATGGAACGAAAACCAAGGGGCGCAGGAGCTAGCCGTTACTCCACACGTCGTGTCAATTCAATTTTCAAACAATAGAAATAATAAACTAAAGATATAATAAATAAACAGCACACCAATCTTATGAAAATACCTAAGAATAAAGAAAAGCATGGAAGACAATCGGCTAAGCGTTTCGCACCTTGGGGGAAGGTGCCGATGGCCGAAACATTGGCCAAACGCGGTGACTCCTTTCGGCGCAAGCGGCAAAAGAGGTCGCCTAGGGGCTACTATTGGGTGAGGCCCTAGGGTATAAGCCCCCACCTCTTCTTACTAATCTGCCAACATTTTGTTTGCTAAGGACAAAAGGCTGACCGATGAAACCAATGGCAAAAGAAGTCGTTGGTTTTCACCTAGCTTGCTCAGGAAAGCTTAAAAGGTTTTGACCTACATTTCGCCCGGCACGACGAAATCAATGGCAAAGCCATTGGTTTTCACCTGGTTTTCTTAGGAAAGTTTAAAAGCTTTTGACATACCTTTCGCCCGGCTCGACAAAACCAATAGCGAAAGAAGCCGTTGGTTTTTCATTCGGTGTGCTCAGGAAAGTTTAAAAGCTTTTAACCTACCTTTTGCTTGGCCCGACGAAACCAATGGTGAAAGAAGCCATTGGTTTTCACATGGCTTGCTCAGGAAAGCTTAAAAGCTTTCGACCTACCTTTCACCCGGCTCGACGAAACCAATGGCGAAAGAAGCCATTCATTTTCACCCTATTTGCTCAGGAAAGCTTAAAAGCTTTTGACCTACCTTTCGCCTAGCTCTATGAAACCAATGGCGAAAGAAGCCATTGGTTTTCACCTGGCTCGTTCGGGGAACCTCAAAAGCTTTCGACCTACCTTTCGCCTAGCTCAACGAAACCAATGGCAAAAGAAGCCGTTGGTTTTCACCCGGTCTGCCTCAAAAGCTTTCAACCAATGTTTCACTTGCAGGAACCAAATGGTCCAACGATGATACTGATGGCAAATGACACCCATAGCTTTCATCACTCCTGTGAGTGGCAAAAGTGGAATACAACACTAGGGAAAGCCTTTTGATTTGCCATGGGCTAACAGATATAGTATGATGTGTCACCTTGCAGGTCTTTCGCTGTTTTCGGCCTTCGTCCTTTCGGTAGGAGCTTTGGTGCGTCGGCCATGGGGCCTGCGCTAGGGGGACCCAAGAGAGGAAGGCATTCATCGATGGAGGTCGTAAGAAGAATGGACCAAAAGCGCCTTTACGGAATAGGAATATGCTCAGGGATCTGAGCAGTTAGGAGGGCATTTTGGTCTCTGTAAAAGATATGGATGTGTATAAATAGGGCTCCATGGGAGCATTGTAAAGGGGGATGGAAACCTTGTTCCTTGATTACTACACATATGCCTTTCGCCATTTCAGGGTTCCTTTTTGTTCCTTTTGTTTGGTTTTATTGTGCTTTTTGGTAGTTTGAGCAGCTGCCTGGTGTTCGAAGGCTAAGGCCTAGAACAATAGTGGTCTCGCGTGATTGTTGGCCTCCTGAATAATTTCCACTAATCTATCCATAACACTTTATGGGGAAGTCAAAATGATGAGCCGTTTATTGGGTGTGAAAGTTGACTCGATAAGCTTTCTAGACATGTGTAGCATGCATTACGAAACATTCTAGAATGGTATAGTTTTGCATCGAAAGTTGTACCAACATTCTGTCCTATAAAGACTATTAACCTTCTTAGCAATCTTCACTATGTTCATATCTCAACATTGGAAAGTCCAAAAGACTTGGAACTGGTGCCATTGGAAACTAGACTTGATAAGCTTTCTAAAATGTCCTCATGGACCTCCAAATCTTCAGGGAATCGATAGTTGTGAATGTTTCTTATAGGTGGTTCGTTTTTCACTGTGCTGGTCCGAACTGGTCATTATTTTCCACTGTGTTTGTTCGAACTATTGGTCCATTTTTCATTGTGCTAGTCCGATGTAGAGTAATATCCTCCTCTTTATTTGTATACCTAAGTACAACTAAAGTAGAACACTTAGGTAGTATAATGTTCTCAAATATGTCAGTTAATTTCAGCTTGGAACAAATTCACCTGGTCTTATTTCTTTTTGGCACAACTTTGTGTAGGTGGCCCATGAGTGTTAGATAGTGAGCTTTCTTCATGTATTAACACATGTTGAGCTAGGATGTCCTCATCAAAATCTGTACGCGAAAGATCCCTACATATTCGTATGCTCGGTTACAGGGGTTGTTGCTCCTAGCTATATAGTAGATGAGATGGAATGAGATTCATCTTGATCGCGAGGTCCCTACCCTCCATTATATAGGCAGAGAGGGTAGGGTTACAATAAGAGCGATCGGCTAAAAGATGGGTTTCCTAGTTTGTTACACAGATTGCGCAACATATTGATCCTACGCTATCGTCCAGATACGCCTATCTCAGATATTCTCGGTGTGCCTTGGTCTTCACATTGGTCGACCTCCTCTGCCCTCGTGGGCCTCCTCCTTCACGGCCTCTGGCCTGATAGCCGAACGTGGTCGAATATAAAGGCGGTGCAGGTACCCTGGCTCATATATCCGACATTATCCTTTCAATCTATGTGTGTGTCCTATGGAAGATTTTGAGCCAGTGTAACTCTTGTAAGTGTAATGCTTAGAGCTGCATTACCTGGACCTATTTTCTGGAATTATGTAGTTTGAACTTGATCAACGTGTGTTGTTATATGTGATCTATACAATGTGCCCAGGGCAATGGGCACATTTGCATCTATGCAGGCGTCCAAACACCTTCTCAAATGAGTAGTTGGTGTTAGTTAGAAAAACCTGACATTGCATCCAGCCAAACAAATACGTTCCTGGCCCAGTGAGACCAAACTGGAACATTAGCACCTTTCACCATCTGGGCCAGCCTGGTGCTGCCCTGGCCCAGGTCGTTCGCATGGACCACTTAGGTCAAGACAAACAAATAGGTCCTTAGTGTTTCGATAAGCACAACTGACACTGCAGTAAGTAGAAAGGCGTACCCAGTGCAGAGAGCTCCCGCTCTGTGTTGGGTCTGGGGAAGGGTGTTAGTGGCAAGACTTACCCTCACTGTGCAATGCGAGGAGACGGGACCTTCCGGTCACAGGCGGTAAGACTCTATCGCTTGCACCAAGCCCGCCCTTCACTGCAATAAGTAGAAAATGGAACATTATTCTGGTTTGCAAACGAGTTCATTTTTTTTAACGTATAGGCCACAGCCGTGCCTAAAACATTAAAACCATTGTTTGGATGTAGTTGAATTCGCATCTATCCACATGAGTTAGGGTGAATTCGAGTGGAACTTAAACTAAATTTCATTCCAATTCACCTTAATACATGTGGATTAAAGTAAATCGGACAACATCCAAACAATGCTTAAATATATTTATTGTTTGAAAATAGACGGCCGCCAATTGATGAAAATCAGCCGCACGAACGGAAAAAAAAAACCGTGTTAGCGGGATCACAACAACTAGTAGGTGTGCCACAGGGGATCATATTAGACGTCTCCTTCAGGCTTCAGTTAGGAGGAGAAACTTTTTCGTGGTTACCTGGGTTTGCCAAAAGGAAACCAGTAGCTCTGGTCGCTAGTCACTTTAATTAATTATTTCGTTCCTGCAGCCTGCTATGTAGTATGTACGCAACACCGAATTCAGATGATACCAAACGACAGGAGAATAATTCTTTTGTATCATCACCAGTGCGAAGAGAGCAGAGCAGAGCAAGTCATAGAATTTTTCTCACGTTGCCCAACTATCATGGTACCTACACATATATGTTAGACAGAAAAGGAGAAGGCATACTCTCAGAAGTTAAGGCAAAGTCGCTTACCAGCAAACCTGCTCCCGGATGCATAGGTTTCCTGCTAGCTCTTGGTGTGCATGTTTTCCACACAGAGCTGAACCACCAAAACTACAGGAAGCGACCGGTGCAGCTATATATTTAACATGGCCACATGTCAAAACTTGCTGAGGACTGCGGAGGCTCGTCCCCGCGTATTGCTAACTCTCACTTAGCAAGCATACTCAGAGAGAGCGGTGGCCTGGCAGAGGATCGAAGAAATGGCGAAGCTGCACCGGCTCATCTCCGCCGTGCTGAGGCTGGCTGCAGCGGGAGGCGCGGCGGCCGCAGCCATAATCATGGTGACCAGCCACGAGACCACCAGCTTCTTCGGCATAGAGATGGAGGCCAAGTACTCGTACACCCCATCATTCGTGTAAGTAACAATCTAATTCTTCTCCATCATATCATGCATAGATCGGTCAACTAATTAATTACAGTACTAATGTTGGTTCATGACGATGCTCGTTCTCACGCACAGCTTCTTCGTGGTGGCATTCGCTGTGGCTTTCGCCTACAGCCTGCTCGCCCTCCTCGTGCGCCCGGGGAGCACCGCCTCCAGATTACTGCTCCTAAGCGACGTGGTAATTATATATAATAATTATCAAGCGCAAAATAACATTATTACCTTGCAGATGATGCATGAATGTGAGTCCGATCCTCCTCCATTCCATGCAGATGGTAGGGATGCTGCTGACGGGCGCTGTGGCGGCCACCGGCGCGATCTCTCAAGTCGGGAAGAGCGGCAACGAGCACGCCGGGTGGCTGCCCATCTGCGCGCAGGTGCAGGCCTACTGCAGCCACGTGACGGGGGCGCTCATCGCTGGCTTCGTCTCGCTGCTCCTCTACTTCCTCATCATCATGTACTCCCTCCACGCCGTGGCCGAACCCCTCTGCTCCTGCCATTAGAAGCAAATAAGCAGTTCTTCCAGTTCGCGTTCACTACTTCTGGTCATCGATCGCTCGATCGATTAACCAACCATCGTCGTCCGAGCCTTGTATCCCGATCGAGATCTGCCTAAGTTGTACGTTATTTGCCGTTTGATTATATCTTCTCATTTATTTCGTAAGTGATCGTTTTTTATTTGTAACCCCTGAAATTATATTCAGGCCGGCATTTCAGCTGCTGCATGCGCCAAAATGCTTCTTTGTCATACTCTTTATTTCATTGGAACTTTAAATTTTGAAGAGAAAATGTTCGAAGAGGTTAAATTTTGGTGGATTGACCCGCTGGCCGCTGCTGTGATCTCGTCACTGTTGGTATTTTTTTTGAAAAAATTAACATATTATTATCTTTGGTTGTTGCCGACTGCCGACATGCCGTACGTACGCTCTAGTGTGGAGTCGAGGATTTGGTACATCAGTATCACCTTACTAAGTTGAGTCAAGGATTACTATTTGGTCTACAAACACGCTTAACTCGATCGTCATCAACGCCGATTTGCATGCTTTGTCACATCAGTTTGGTGAGCTAATATATATCTACCTTCACCTAATTAAACAATCTCTTAGAACATCGCTTCGTATTAATAACAAACTTTTGGTCGGCATGCTGTCACGATCAACTCACAATATATCACAGCTCACTCGTACTCCCTCGGTCCCTGAATAAATAGATTCATAGATTATCTTAAATAGAACTTTTCAACTTTAACTAAGCTTTAGAAAATTCGTTAAGATTTATGACATTAAATTATTATCATTAGATATATCATAGAATATATTTTCATAATAGACTCATTTTATGTTATAGATAAAAAAACTCAGCCTACGGGGATATACACCCCCTAAACTTTTAGAAAAATCCGCTACGTCACCCGGAGGCTTGACCAACCAGTCTTGCAACCGTAGGCTTTATGTTATAGATGTTGTTGTTACTCTTTTATATAAAGTTAGGAAGTTTGACTTGCATGGATTTTAGAAAATCAAACTTAGGACAATTTAACTTGCATAGATTCTATGAATTGATTTATTTTAAGATGGAGAGAGTATGTCACGAGTTGAAGTGGAATCATATACGAGCTCCAGAGCCCAATCGCAAATCACAAAAGGTTAATAGCAAGATGAAAGCTCTGCATTTTATACCTTGATAGATATGCGCCCTGTTCGGCTGTTTGAAAAAATGGTTGATACGGATTTATTGTGAGAGAAAAACACTGTTATTTCGCTGAAACGGTACGGCTGATAAATTCAAGCGAATAGGGTCATGATCTGCCTCGAGTAACTTTCGAAGTTTGGTAACACCACGGGCACAACAACCATTGCTCATTGGACAGATCTTAAAGCAAAATTGTTCGATAGCTAAAAATATGTCAATTGGTTTTCCCAACAAATCATATATAACGTATAAACAGCAAATTTCTCTTGCTGTGTGCCCAAAATTTTCTACTTTTTTAATATATTTTTTAAAAAATATCACGAATTCACAAAGTATCAAAATTAATGCACTGTCGCTTCCAAGAAAACAACCACTTTTGAAAATCGTTTCCCCTAATGATATTAGAAGTTCTACCATGGGACGACTTTGACCAAAATTATGAAAAATAATCGAGTTGTTCGGCTGATGGTTTATGCGTCTGATAAGTTGACTGAAACTGATTTCTTGTGAGAGTAAAACACTGTTCTATGGCTGATAAGTTCAAGCGTGTGACATGTGCCATTCTTTGGGTAAATGACATTAAGCAATATCATTTTTTTGTTAAATGAAGTTAGATTTCTTCTTATATTCTAAAATAAGGGAAAAATTATATGCATATTTAGTTAATACGAAATAGGCCGACTCATTTCAGAAGTTATGGCTTCATTAGCTCAATGTGACGTTAGAATATTAGACAATTTTAGTAGCAATTTAATCCAAAGAAAAGACATAAAGCAATATAAACATGTTAGTGACATTATATATATGCTTGTGTGTCTTAAACATGACGAGCATGTAGATGATACTCAAACTAAGGATTGACAGCCAAGACCTTAAAAGGTTCGTTCCAGAGACATACCCTGTGGTAAAGCCGGATGCACTCGAAGATATAGTGCCTGTCGATGTAGTCATCCCGCTCGATGCAGTGCAGATGAGAAGCCATGCCGATCACGAGCGATCCTCTTGGAAGTAGAGGACAGCGAGTAGTCGTGCCGCTAGCGACACTCCCCAAAAATATGATTGCTGCCCTTCACCCGAGCAGGCGAACTCGAAGACAGCAGGCGTTCCGGAGGCCTCCTCTTCTAGCTCCTGTGTGCGCAGGAACCGGGACAGGGAGAACTAGAGAGCAGCTCAATATGTGGTTGTCCAGGAAGCGAAGAAGATGACTGACGGAGGAGCCAAGATTATATGCTCGCGGTCAGGGAGGCGATGGGGCGCACGAAGAGATCAGAGGACCAAGGAGATGTGCGGAAGCAAACAGTAGTAACAGGCGAAACTTCTGCCATAAAGCCGCCACTAGCATAAAACAGAGTAACTCCCATAATTATGTGGATTGAGTGGCAAAACCACTCCTGTCCCGTCCATTCGCTCGCCGACTCGCCGTCGCCGCCAGCGAGCCCCGCCCCGCCCACGGCCCAGCCCGGTCGGCGGCGGTGGCGGCACGCGTGGGTGTGGCACACCTACGTCCTTTTCTCAACATCTTAACATAGATAGACAATATCCAATCATATAAACCGAGTCAATGTCAAGTCAAAATCCCGATATTAAACCATATATCACGCATTATTACGAGCCATAGAGTTTATTTGATTTATTAAATATTATATGGGCCAAGCTCATAATATATCCAACAATCCTCACTAAACTCTAGGGTTCATAGTAAAATAGTCTCAAAATCATATTTCTTTGATATACCAGAGTTTTGATGGAGACTATTAAGTTGAACATCCATCTAGAGCAGTAGTTACACTAAGTCACAACTGAACAATGGACTATGTCTTGAATTGATAGTTTTGTGTGAGGTGAGATTCACTAAAGTTCTTATGTGGTAATAGGCTGCAACAAGTATCCCCTCTATTTGAAGCATATAAATCACACTTTAAGGCATTTCATAAGTATCTAGAGATTACCCACATCTCATAGATTGTTACTAGCAATCGAACTCACATAGATGTGTTCCTTCTAAGATGTTCTGTAGGACAATATCTCTGCTTAAATAAGCCACTCGGATCACATTAAAAAATTAACCATCCTGCCTTACGGCATTGAAGAAACAGTGCATCTCAAACAATTCGGACTTTAGCATAAGGGGTCTCTCCCTCAGTCAACCACTAGCTTGTTTCACCATCCTACTTTATGGGATCTAAGATCACATAGGATAGGTTATCACTATGGAATGACTTCAAGTGGGTCTCAAGCCCAACTCCCTCGATGCACCTTCTATCACATTGCGTGATAGATCATTTGTGAACTGATCCGCCAAATTCTTTGATGTGTGGACATAGTCCAACGCAATTACTCCGGAGTTTCTTGGTTTTCTGACAGATTTTAACCACCTTTTTGTATGGCTTGTAGACTTCATGTTATCCCTAGAACTGTTCATTTTGATTATCATAGTCTGATTATCACAGTTTATGGATATGGCCGGTATTAGTTTTTCAACCATCGGTAAATCTATAAGAAGTTCATGAAGCCACTCAGCCTTAGCGCTAGCGGTGTCTAATGCTCTGAGTTTTGCTTCTATTGTAGACTTCATTAAATTAGTTCGCTTGCAAGACTTCTAGGAAACAGTGCCACCTCTAAGCAAGAATGTATATCTGCTTGTGGCATAAAGCTCATCAGCATCAGAAATCCAGTTAGCATCACAGTAGCCCTCTAGTACCCTTGGGTACCCGGTATAGTAAATGCCATAGCTCATGATTCCCTTTAGGTAGCGCAACACCTCTCAAGAGCATGCCAATGTGTATCTCATGGATTTGAAACAAACCGGCTAAGTTTGCTCACTACAAACGAGATATCAAGCCTTATTGCACTTGCCAAATACCTAAGTGAGCCAACAATTTGAGAATATCTCAATTAATCCTGTGCTATTCTGTGTTTTTCCTTATAGCACACTTGGATCATAAGGAGTTGGAGCAGGCGTGCATTCACTATAACCAAAGCGATTTAGCACCTATTCCACATAGTGAGATTGCACAAGTGTTTCCCACCATTTCCTTCTCTTAGTAGCTTCATGTTAAGAATAACATTAGCCTCACCTAAGTCTTTCATCTCAAAATTACTAAACAAAAAGTTTTTCACTTACTTGATCACATTAATGTTATTTCCAAAGATTAAAATATCATCAACATACAAGCACAAAATTACACCTTCTCCCCCATCATACCAATAATAGACACATTTATCAACTTCATTCAAAGCAAAGCCGGCTGATGTTAAAGTTTTATCAAACTTCTCATGCCACTGCTTGGGAGCTTGTTTTAGGCCATACAAGGATTTTAATAATTTACAAACCTTACCCTCTTGACCTTTTGCTATAAATCCATCAGGCTGATTCATGTAGATCTCTTCCACAAGCTCTCTATTCAAGAAAGTTGTCTTAACGTCCATCTGATGAATGAGAAGACCATGTGAGGCAACCAAGGAAAGCAACACGTGTATGGTCGTCAAGCGAGCAACTAGTGAGTATGTATCAAAATAGTCCTCGCCTTTCTTTTGAGTATAACCTTTAGCCACTAGCCTCGCCTTATACTTTTCAATAGTACCATCAGGCCTAAGCTTCTTTTTAAGACCCATTTACACCCCACTGGTTTGCATCCGTAAGGACGATCAACCACTTAAATTCCATTAGACATAATAGAGTCCATCTCACTTTGAACAGCTTCCTTCCACAAGTCAGCGTCAAGAGATGAATATGCCTCAGCTATGGTTGTGGGAGTGTCATTCACAAGGTATGTAATATAGTCTTCACCAAAGGACTTAATAGTCCTCCATCTCTTACTCTTTTGAGTAACTATATTATTATCCTCCTTAGGAATTTCTTCATGGGTTTCAACATCAGCGTTTATTACCGGTTCATGTGTCTCAGGCAGAAAAATAGATTCATGACTAGACGTGCTAGGTGTATTTTTCATTGAAAATTCACTCTAAAAAAATGTCACATCTCTAGATTCCATGATTGTACTAACAACCATATCAGGAACACCAGAGTTTATTATTAAAAATCTATAATCCATGCTATGAATAGTATAACCAAGAAAGACAATCAACCATTTTTGGTCCAAGCTTTCGCTTTTTGTTTGTTGGCACATTCACCTTTGCCAAACAACCCCATGTTCGTAAGTAAGAGAGATTTAATCTCTTCTTCTCCCATTTCTCGAATGGTGTAATTTCTTTGTTCTTTGTGGGCACCCTATTCAAGACATGACACGCTGTCAAAATTGCCTCACCCCCACCATTTCTTAGATAGTCCCGCAGAACATGGCGTTAACCAACTCAGTTAGAGTGCGGTTCTTTCTCTCTGCAATCCCATTGGACTGTCATGAGTATGGTGGCATTCTCTCATGAATAATATCATGACCCGTGCAAAACTCAGAAAATTCATTTGAGAAATATTATCCCCCGCGATCAAACCACAAACGTTTAATTTTCTTCTCAAGTTGATTTTCTACCTCAGCTTTATAGATCTTAAAATAATGCAATACTTCATCTTTTGTTTTCAATAAATACACATAGCAAAATCGAGTGCAATCATCTATGAACGTTATGAAATATCTCTCACCACCATTGGTCAACTCTCCATTCATCTCACACACATCAGAATGGACTAGTTCTAACGGTGCCAAGTCCCTCACTGTAGCAGCCTTGTGAGGCTTGTGAGGTTGCTTTGACACAACACAAACATAGCACTTAGAACCTTTGGCCAAATCAAATTTCAAAATTAAATTTAAACCAGCTAAGCGAGTCATGCAACCAAAATTAATATGATATAAGCATGAGTGCCAAATATTCATCTCATTATCGTGGTTCACAGAATTAAAACAAGTATCGGTCAAAGACAAGCGGAACAAGCCTCCGCTCTCAGCCTTTTTCAATGAAAGTTCCATACTTAGAAAGTAGGAACTTATTAGACTTAACACAAGTTTAAAACCATCATGGCCAAGCAAAGAACCACTAATCAAATTCTTCTTTATTGAGCGGACATGATGCACGTTCATCAGCTGCACGGTCTTTCTCGAAGTAAACTTCAGATCGACCGTACCAACACCACGTATAGCCGCACGCGTCCCGTTCCCCATCAACAAGGAGGAAGTCCGCCCGACCTAATAAAAAGAAAACAAAGAAACATCAGCACACACATGGATATTTGCTCTATCAATCCACCAATCAGGTGAATGACAAACTAAAATAAGAGTAGGCAATAAATTACCGTACCCTATTGTTCTTACATCATCTCAACTTTGTTTGTTGTTTTCTTGTTTGGCTTCCACTTAGCCTCCTCGCACTCTCTAGCATAGTGCCCAGGCTTACCACAAGTGAAACAATTTCCTTTTTTCTTGTTCTTTTTCTTCTTCTTAAAAGGAGTGGTAGACTTTTGTTTGCGTTCTTGCTGGAATTTTTTCTTCTGGGATTTGGGAGGATTTTTCTACATCACATGGGCACTAGAACTCTCCTCACCAATTTTCTTGCTACGGACGTCCTTTGCTCTCACCTTCTCTTCAACATCCAAAGAGCCAATGAGCTCGGTAATACCAAACTCCTGTCTCTTATATTTCAGAGAAGTAGCAAAATATGTCTAAGTCTGTGGCAGCTTAGCAATAATACATCCTTCCACAAACTTATCAGGTAACACACAACAAAAAAATTTGTGTTCTTTTGCCGGTGTTTGTATCTCATGAGCTTGTTCCACTACAGAACGGTCATCGACCATCTTGTAGTCATGAAAACTACTCCATGACATACAACTCAGAACCAGCATCAGAAACCCCATATTTGACCTCAAGTGCATCCCACATCTCTTTGCTAGTCTGTAGCGGCACATATGCATCCACTATGGTGTCCCCTAGCACGCTCAAAATTGTTGCCTTGAACATAGTGTCAGCATGTTTGAACGCATGCTCCTCATCAAGAGTATGTGGCCCAATGGCCCTACGTTTAGCAACAAAATAGCAGTGCATGGAAATCAACCATAGAATGCACCTCTGCCGCCACCTCTTGTAATGAGTGCCCTCAAAGACATTCATTTTCAGCATAGTCGTAAAGTCAACTACCGAAAATTGCCTATCACATTTTTAGATTGTTAGAATATTAGGTAATTTTAGTAGCAATTTAATCCAGAAACAGACATAAAGCAATATGAACATGTTGGTTACATCATATATATGTTTGTGTGTCTCAAACATTATGAGCATATCGATGATACTCAAACTAAGGATTGACAGCCAAGACCTTAAGAGGTTCGTTCCAAAGACATACCAAGTGGCAGAGCCGGATGCACTCAAAGACATAGTGCCTGTTGATGTAGTCGTCTCGCTCGATGCAGTGCAGATGAGAAACCGTGCCGATCACCAGCGATCCTCCAGGAAGTAGAGGACAACGAGTAGTTGTGTCGTCGGCGACACTCCCCAAAACCGTGATTGCCGCCCTTCACCCGAGCGGGCGAACTCGAAGACGGTTGGCATTCCGGAGGCCTACTCTCCTAGCTCCAGTGCGCATATGAACCAGGACGAAGAGAACCAGAGAGCAGCTGAATATGTGGTTGTCTAGGAAGCGAAGAAGATGACTGACGGAGGAACCGAGATTATATGCTCGCGGTCAGGGAGGTGATGGGGCGCAGGAGAAGATTAGTGGACCGAGGAGACGTGCGGACGCAGGCGGCAGTAACATGTGAAACTTTCGCCATAAAGCCGCTACCAGCATAAAAGAGAGTAACTCCCGTATTTATGTGGATTGAGTGGCAAAATGACTCCCATCCCGTCCGTCCGCTTGCCCACGCCACGCCTCGGCCGCCGGGTGTGGGTGTGTGTGTGGGGGGGGGGGCACACCTACGCCCTTTTCACAGCTTCTCAACATAGATGGATAATATCTAACCATATAAACCGAAGGTCCAGTCAAAATCTCGTACGGTATTAAATCATATATCATACTATTACGAGCCATATAGTTTATTTGATTTATTAAATATTATATGGACCAAGTCCATAATATATCAACAGGGATTGGCCCAAATACCCTTTCTTTTGTTATAGGTCTTAAACACGGATCAGGTAGACTTATCAAAATTCGAACTGTTCCTTTATGGTAGAGATAGATCGGTCCAACTCCCCAGTAGTCGACACGACCTATTCCAATTTATAATCAAGAGATAGTGGCGGCATAAAATATGGAGAGTGATGGCACGCGGAGAGCAGAGATAGAAGGCAGGAACGTAGCAAGTAGGCCGTACCAGCGAACTCAGCAATTTAGTTGAGCTCGGACCAAGATTAAGATGATCAATTTTCAATGCAGGAACCATCCATAATTTCTATAGCACCAAAATCTCACCACTAAAACCCATTCTTCCAAATACAAAGTTTCTAATAACAGTTTCTATTGAGAAGAAATTTAATATGCAAACCGCATGTGCGGGAGAGGGCAGGGTCCGACGAGCTAGCGTCAGTCGGGGGAGAAATTTTGCGGCGGTAGTGGGCGAGGTCGCAGGCATAGAGGATCTAGTGAAAAGTATGTAAACGATGATGAAGTCCTCCAACGCGTCGCGCATAGTTTCTTCCACCCTCGATATACTAGTAAAGTTTCTTTAATTTTTTTCTCTTTCTTCGATAAATTACTTGCCACATCAACAAATTATTTACTTAGCAGTGTAACTAATTAGCCTGTTTGTTTATTGGTTTCAGCCAGGGCTTATTAGTCATGGTACAATATTTTTCTCTCACAACGAACCAGTACCAGCCGAACTTATCAGCCCAGAAATTAGCTAACGAACAGATTGAATAACTATAGAAACTATTATGATTTTTGCATTGTGAATGCCCTTAGGTTGTATCTCATGAAGTTCGGACAAAGAGTGTTGCGACAAGTACATTATTATGCATTGGTATGGTCGGAGCGGAAAAAAAATTAGATGATACTATATTCACCGTGCTCCAGTGCATACCTCCCATGATTTGCTGCCACGTGTCCAGTCTTATGGATCCAACGCTCTTGATATTTTTTCGTCCATCTGCACTGGTCCATGATTGACTTGGCCCATATAGGCACACGAAAGACAGGCTAATGAGTGCAGTTGGATCCATGAGACTGAACACGTGGCAGCAGTCCAGCAGATCAGGGACGATACGCACGGGAGCACGGTGGCAGCATCAATCCAATTTTTTTCCGTCGGAGCTCGGGCGGACGTTAGGGTCACTGGGCTTTTGGTCCACCTGTGGCTGTAGTACCACATGTCATCAACGTTAACCAAACGTTGCTAAAAAAAATCAACGTTAACCAAACGTATTGAAATTCGTACAAACAACTAAATATGAACAGTTTTGGCATATTAGAGATTTTGTTTTTTAGAAAAGTGTTTCACGTTTTCTGTTTTTGAGTAAAAGAGTTTCACGTTGGAAATCGTCAATCGAACCCACCCTGTGGGCAAAAACATATTTGTAAAAAAGAAATAAATAACGCCGTCAACTCCAGGTGGCGATCAGCGGCGGAACTCTGCAACTTGTTTATGCTCTCCCTTGGATTCTGAATTTCTGAATCTGATCGCTGATGGGAGCTTACAAAACCAAAGTCGGACTCGTGCTCTGCATCCCTATCACTCGCCCGTCTCCTTACCTCCGCGGCCGACAGGATGCGAGGTTCGCATCTCCGGAGTATGGCTTTCTCAAGAGAATTGGCTGCTGAATTAGCCATCTCTGCTTGTGTTTTCCTTGGTTTCAGGGGAGGATCGCGTGGTACCGGTGTACGCGTCGGGCACTCAGGTCAGTATATATCTTCTTGTTTTGTTGTATTTGCCTCTGTACCATTCGTGACAAATTCTGTGACGCAAGGAGCAGGAGATTAATTTACTTCTGTACCGTTCGTGAAAGATTCTGTTGGGCAAGTCATGTACTAGTATACTAGATTAGAAATTAGTATACGGATTCTTGGGAGGTGCCTGTAATTCATAAACAAGAAATATATGAAGTGAAACATCATGTTGCATCCTTAATTTATCATTCTGAATATGTATGTATATACAGGTTCTCCGAAAGCTACAAGAGAAATCGGAATGCACCAAACAAGGTTGCCCAGCAATGTACTCCAGTGTCGTTGGCGGCATCATACTTGATCCATCGATGATGGTGATCCCGATTGACGATCACATGGTTCACAGAGGACATGGCGTTTTTGACACTGCTACCATTTCTGATGGGTTGACTGTCCTCTCTGCTGTTCTCATCCATTTTATCGCATTCGGAATCTTGTGATGATATACAATGATACGATATCCTCTCTGAAGTCTGAAAATCACATTTGGTTACTGTAACTCTGTGAGAAGCTACTTGTACGAACTGGATTCTCACCTGGACCGGCTCCTCGTTTCTGCATCCAAAGCAAAGATCGATCCGCCATTCCTCCCCGAGACGCTGCGCGACATACTGCTCCAGATGACGGCAGCCTCCGGATGCAAGAACGGCTGAATCAAGTACTGGCTGAGTGCCGGCCCCGGCGACTTCCTGCTGTCGCCAAAGGGCTGCACGGGGTGGGCGTTCTACGCCATCGTAACCGCCGCCGGCGCCGCCGGCTCTCGGCACAAGGATAGTGGCGTCAAGGCGATCACGGCCACCGTGCCCATGAAGCATCCATTTTTCGCGGGCATAAAGAGCGTCAACTACCTCCCCAACGCACTGGCCATGGCCGAAGCTGAAGAGCGAGGCGCTTTCGCGTCGGTCTGGGTCGACGAGGACGGGTACGTCGCTGAGGGCCCGACGATGAACGTCGCGTTCGTCACCACGGGCGGGGACCTGGTGCTGCCGGCGTTCGACAGGATCCTCAGCGGGTGCACGGCGAAGCGGATCCTCGCGTTGGCGCCCGAGCTGGTTGGAGCCGGCCTGCTGAGGAGTGTCCGGGATGCAAGGATTTCTGCCGATGAGGCAAGGCAGTGCGCCGAGATGATGTTTCTTGGGAGCGGCCTGCCGTTGCTGCCGGTCGTCGAATGGGACGGCCAACCAGTTGGGGATGGTAATGTTGCATGCAGTTCAGGATTATCTGCTAGATAGAATGCACTTACAGTTTCACATTGGTGGATACAGTAAATGATGCAGCAGAGATTCACCTATCGATTAATTTCTTGTTTCATGATGATGCAGGAAGAGTTGGGAGAATTAGTCTTGCCCTGTGTGATATGCTCCGGGACGACATCAAGTCTGGTCCAGATAGGATTCCCGTTCCTTACAGTTGACGAGAGACGACTCTTCTAATATCAGAGGGGCTGTATTATGTTTTTGCTTTTTCAAGTCCATGATTTCTTCAAGGACAAAATTCTTCTTTTCTGTTGTTTTTGTTTCATTTCTGTTGTTTTTGTTTCGTTTTCATTCAGATACAGAATAAGGTCGATGCTTCTGAAGCAAAAGAGATTAATCGGAACAGAATCGATATCCGATCCATGTGTTTTCGTCCATGCTGCTCCGAAGTAGTTGCTACCGCTCCTACATCAACTTTTTCTATATGGAGGAACATCTACTATTTCTATACGAAGGAAATCAAGAGCTGCAGATACAGTTTACGGTAGAAGAGGGGCAGCCCAACAGAATTAAGCGACACGATCAATTCCTAATTTCCTATGCTCAATATTTTCTCTTCGGCTCTCTTTTGTATTCTAGTTTATCTAGGGCCATATTGGCAGAGCTCCACCACCACAAAAACTGAATCTGGATCTATGATTCATTTGGTTCCACCGTGGAGCAGCTCCACTGTGAAACTAAGGGCCCGTTTGAGAGAGCTTCGCTCCCTAATTCTTTAGTTCTCCTTCTTAATTCTCCGATGGAGTGATTCTATTGGATTTCTGGGAGGGAGCAGGGTGGGGAGCTTACGAGAATTGATTCTCTGCTAATCCCCACCAGAATATCATAGGGAGCAGGACGAAGCAGGGTTTTTTTAACTCCTAGCTCGTAGTGTAAACAGAGAAGTGATCCTCTGCTGATGCCCACCGGAATCAGAGTGATTAACTCCCAGCGGCGTCGGGGGCTTGGCAGCCGGTGTGGAGCTGGCTCATGCGGCTAGGGGCATGGCTGGCTCGCATGGCCGGGCATGAGCATGTCGGGGCGGAAGGCGTAGCGGGCGCAGCGCCATTAGTGTCGGCGCCCGCGGCCATGGCAACTCATAGTCATGGCGGCCGGGCAAAGCACAGGGGGGTGTGGATGGAGCCCACGGGAGGGGCGCAACGGCCAGGCATGGGGCCAGGGTGGCGTGGCTCGCGACTACGCCGGCGCTTGCGATGGCCGGGCACGCGGGTGGAGGGGCACTGGCATTCGCAACGGGGAGAGGAAGATGCGAAACAGAAGAAACGGAATCGATATTTATGTGTAACCATGGTACCGTGGGTAATTTTCTCCAACTCCGCCTAACTTTGATTTGATGGTGCACCCTTGAGGTGCTCTACCAATTTGGTGAATCTGAGACTAGATCCACCCTTTTGGTGGATCAGATCCATGGTGGAGCCAGTGGAGTTAGGGTCTGTTTGGCAGGGATTCAGATTCACCAAATTCGGATTCATTAGCTTAGATCCACCAAAATATTTCCGAAACAGTCTAATCCACCAAAATGGCAGATCTGGGGCTAGATTCACCATTTTTGATAGATCTCCTCAGGGGGTGCTCCACGAATGGACGTTTCGTACCTCCTCATGGATTTGGGTGAAAATTACCCACCTTTTCCACTGGTTACACACTCCTTCCTATGTACCGGATTGATTCTTTTTCTTCCCACACCCGACCACGCCCCTTCTCCTCCCATCGCGCCGCGCCCCTACAGTCCTCCCGTCGTGGCCACGGTGGCCATGCCACCCATCCCCTCCCTCCATCCCTCCCCTCTAGCGAGCTCCCCATGGCCGGATCCGGTAGATCCGGTCCTCCTCGACCTCTTGCACCCCCTTCTTCCTCTGCATCCATGGGGAAGGCCGCTCCTAGGGTTACGTTGTCTCATCAACTTTAGAGCGCAGCCATCGGAGCTCCTCCTCCTAGCGTCGCTGCCGACGGCATGCCCCATTCGGCCGGTGTGCCTGGAGTCATGGCCGGTGGCATGCCCCCTCAGGCAGCCGTGGCCAGCTAAGGCCGGCCGGCGTATAGGGAGTCATGGCAGGCGTCGAGCCCCCCATGGCCGACGCATAGGCTGCCATGGCTGGCCTCCAACCCGCCATGGTCGCCGCCCACCAGATCAACCTGGCTAGCTAGCAGGCTGCCATGGCCACCGACTGTTCTTCGTCCTAGCTGCAAGCGAGGACACGTGCTCTGTAGACCAACAAGAGGGAAAGAGATGATGAGGTATTATAACAACCCTAGAATTCCAAAACACAAAAATCACAACTTTCAAAAACTTTTCTAGAAGCCCTTGCTTGGTGAGTGATCATTCTAGGAAACCATCCCTAGTTGCACAAGTTGAACACAACTTAGATGTGTGAGCATTGCATCTTAACCCAACTTTTAATTGCTTCTTCTTGGATTTCATGTGATGATTAAATAAAATCATAAACAACCGTAGGCTAATATGTTTGTGTGTGTGGGCCCATGCCCTGGCAAGACCCTAAGACCTTAAGGTAGACCTAGGTGGACCCCACTAAGGGTGTATACATGTATATGGTACATGTATACACATTAGCCTTGGAGAAATAGAAATAGAAAAGGGAAGGAAATAGAGGACGAAATGGAAAGAGGGAAAGAAGCCCAGCTAACCAAGCCGGCCCAGCAACGCCCGACCCAGCCAGCCCCACACCCGCGCACGCCAGCGCCCGAACCGGCCCAACAGCGCCGCCACCCAGCTCGCGCTCGCGCCCACGCCGTGCCCCCTCTCTCAGCGCCGTTGATGAGTAGACCCCATGACCCCACTTGTCATCCCCTTCCCCTTTCTCACCTCTCTGCTTTTCACCGTGCCCGACGCCGGCGTGAAGCCAAGAATAGCAAAGCCATCCCGGCCATTCCCCCGTTTGAATCGCATCACGCGTGCCCTGGATGTCTGCCACGTCGATGATCCACGCCACCCCGACCTACCCTAGTTGGCGCCCGCCTGCCGTGACGCGAGCACCATGGCCCGCACCGCTTGCAGTGCCGCTGCCACCACTGTACTGCCCCATGACAGTCCACACTCCAAATTACAGGCGCTAAGGCCACCGTGCACGCCCCCGCTCCCCAAAACCCTAGCCCAAGGGCTTGATCACCCTACACGTGACCCCATGCACACCCCCACCGTCCGTTGCTCACCATGGACAAGCTCAAGCTATAAAAGCCCCGAGCTGGTGCCCTAGCCCCTCTCCCATCCACCCGCCACCACTGGTGGCAACAAAACCACCCACACCGAGACCAAGAGGGAAGGAGAAGGAAGGAGGACCAAGCCGCCGCCACCGAGGAGCTGCTACCGAAGCCAGAGATGACGCCCCGATCATCTACACTAGTGTAGCAGCTCAACATGGCATTGCACCACCTTGTCACTGTCGAGCCTCACCATTGCACCGCTATCCTAGCCCCCACAAGCCCGACGGTGAGCCCCCGTGTCCACGCTCGGCTTCAACGGCATGAACGCCATGGCCGCTACCATGTTCTTCCCCCTCTAGAAGGCCAAAGGCACTGCCTTTCGCTGTCACCGAGCACCATGCACTCAGGCACACACGTAACGCAGCGACGCCGAGCCACCTTGGCTCGAGAACACCTATGCTAGCACACCTGCATGCATTCGCGCTCGCCGCGGCCATACCCCATCGTGGAGAAGCTCTGTTCTGGTGGATCAAGGACAGTAGAGGTAGAACCACCACTGAGGTGAGCTTTGCCTTGCCGCGGGACGCGCATAGCCTTAGCTGCTCTAGCCTAGGAGCCCTAGAGGCATTGGTCGCCTTTGCAACACTGGCGCGGCCGCGCCCCATGCCACTGCCGTGCCAAAGATGTTTCGACCAACTTTGGATGCATCGCATGATGAGATCTGGCCGTCGAGCTTCGCCTTGTTCTCGTGGACCTCGTTGTGTAGTTGGTGGAATGGAAATTGCCACCTTGCCCTTGTTCGTCATAGCCGCAAGCTCACGGGAGCTCCACCGTGTGCCTTTGCTGCGGTGCTGACTCCACCATGACTTTTGGTCACCGTCGTAGAGTCATTTGGCTCGCGCATAACGCCAATCGAAATAAAGGAGCCACCTTTGGCTCCAATTGAGGCCGTAGCCGCTTCATCGTAGCCCGCCATCGCTGCTGCCGCCGTGGCCAGCCTCACCGAAGCCCTAAGAGTCGTGCCTTGCACCCTAATTGTGTTTGTCGGAGCACAAGGATTCTGAAGGAGCCCCGCTAGAGCCACACCGACACCACGGAGTACCCCGCCGTTGTCACCGCACCACCATGAGCTGCTGAGTCGCCATCACCGGCCGCCTAAAGCCTCAAGACCTTGCCTTTAGCCCCTCGATGTACCTATCATGACCCCGCGATACCGTAGAGACCCTTGGTAGCCCCACTGAGCCACCATAGCGCGTAGACGCGCAAACTCGCATCTAGCGAGAATGCCGCCGTAGGACGTAGAAGGAGCAGTCGTGCCCCCGCCAGGACTGGTGTGTGCTCGGTCCACCGTGAGCCAAAGAGAGAAGAGAGAGAGGTGGACGCAGTCCACCATAGACCAAGCCTATGGTCCATAGACCTACAGGCTGCAATCCACCATGAGCCAGCCCCAAGGACCCAAAACCCTAAGAGCCCAGCTAGGCCATGTTTCCAGCCCAGCGCCTGACATGTGTTCGGGCTGGCCTGGCCCAGGACCGGCCCAATCCGGCTCGTATCCGGCCCATTCGGCTCGATAACCGTTGACCTCTGACCATTGACCATCGACCGTTGACCATCGACAGCCAATCAGAAGCCACCACGTGTCACCTCCGGATAAATCACCCCTTTTTCTTTTTCAAAAATGGAATTAAACTTAGAAAATTCATAACTAAATCATCCGACATTAGAAAAATATGAAACCTATTCCTAAATTCTCCTAAAAATAAGCTCTACGTCATAGGACCATGTTTGAGTGCTTTTGGATCTTTTCAATTTTTTGTTGCTTCTTTGTGGCCATCTATAGGAGTCACTTAACGTGGCTACATGTCTCGTTTAACAGCTTCAGAGGATCAGGACCTTGAGGAGGAGGACTACGACTACAAGAAGGAGTTAGGAGATGACTAATCTATAGGTGCCATGTCCCACCCAACCTCATAGAATCCTATTAGGCATGCAATAA